CTGTCATCATGAAGTAGCCCTGAACACCTCGATTGGCTTGTTCAGCTGTGCTTAATTGGGATTGGAGCTGAACTCTGCATCTCGTGGTAGGTCTGTGTTGAAAAAAAAATGTAACTTTCAGAACCGACTGTTATGCTCTATTGAAGTGCAGGTGTTGAGATAAGTTGATCACTGCAAGACAATCTATAAAATTGTTCTTTGTTAAAAAAAAAATTCCAAAATTCATATATTACTAATTACTAATGCATCAGTATGTACTGAATCTGGGTGGTCCCCTGGAAATTCAGTCCAAATAAGCTGTTATATTCTGTAAAACCTTGTGTCAGCCTTCGATCTGCCATTGGTCCATGATGGTTATATAACAGATGAATGCGCTCTAAATCTTTCCAGGTTGTTTCCATTTGTTCACTCAGTCTGTCAAGTTCAGATGTGAGTAACGACATGAACACACTGGACTGCACAATCGTAGAGCTGGTGCAAACATCTCCACGTCTCTATGATCAGATGCTTTCTTAACCGCTCTTTTCTCTTTTCTTTTATGTATTTGTTGTGTTAATGGGCGCTCACACTAGACTTTGAGCATGCAAAATTTCAGTCGTGATGTCACACTCTTCTGCGTCTTTTTAAAAAACATAAATTCAACAAATAATATTAATTCCAAAATGTACTCCAGTTTCCTGCAATTCTGCAAACCGGCAGCTTTGAAGTTTATGTTCTTTTAATTAAGCTAAGATATTCTACTGGTCACATGTCTTCCCGTGATTATGAATTTGCAGGTCAGAGTTCACCAAACATGAACTTCTGAAGACAGCGAACTGCGAAACATGAGTTTGCCTCTTTGGTCTCCTGTGCTGACTTTTGCATAAGCAACCGCTATTTTTCTTGAGTTAATAAATTTGTTTTTGACCATATTTGCTTGGTGGACACTCACCATATACATGATGGTTGGGTCAGAGGGGATGATCAGGGTCTGCCGCCCCCCCTTGAACTGGAAGAGGAACACACTTCATAGATTCAGTTCTATCAAGGCTGTTTAGTGTAGTTTCATGTAGAGAGTTCAAAAATGACAACTCCTGAAATAGATTTTAACAGCATTTCATTGATAAGAAAGGAGGATTAGTCTTGGCGGACTAGATCTGCTATGCTTGTGCTGCTGGCATGAGCAAATCTTTTTACTAAAACACACTCAAATTTACAGGTATTTTGAAACAAACTTGCCTTGCCTTGGGTGAGGAACAGAGGTGTATGGTGTGTCGATTGACTCACGTGTGGAAGGTGAAGTTATCCGGTGTGCCGTCTCTGTTTGCATCTGTTATATCATGAATAGAGCTGACAGCCATAGTGACCTGGCCAATGGCTTACACTATGGACAGGTATATGATTGTTCTGAAAACACACAAACACGATCAGCATTACAGTCATGACAGCACACACTCACATATCAAAGACAGTCTGTATAAACTGCTCTCACTCTCAGAGTGCTGGATAGATTGTGATTCATCAGCATGGGAATTGCCCCTTAAAGCTCTACAAAAAACGTACTTGAACTTCCCGAGTCAGGAATCAGCAATGATGGCACCCAAGATGGGGGTCAAGTAGCACAATGCCACAAAGGCATGATAGATCGAGGTCGCAAGGTCATCATCCCAATGCAGAAAATACCGAAAATACAGCACCAACACAGCTAGACACACACACACACACACACACACACACACACACACAGAGAGAGAGAGTTTATTTATGAATCTTTTTTCAAATGAGTATGGTCTCAAGCACAGCCCCTTCATAGGCAAATGCAATAACATGTGCCAAGCTCTAGGTGGCACTGTAATAATTACATTGCTAATTTACATTTACACACACACAACACGAACCATATGAACAAAAACAAAAATTAATGTTTCATTCTGAAACCATCAGATAATTATCACATTCAAGGGAACTCTTACATGATCCAAAAAAACTTTTTCTCAAACATGCCCACATGAAATTACATGTGTCTTGTTCATGCCTTTATCACGAAAACAAAAAATTAAGGACTGAAAAAAAAAAAAAAAAAAAAAACAATATAATGGCATTATTCAAGATGTAAAGAGCATTATTAGAGTCTCCTATTAAAATAATAATAATAATATAAATATATAAAATAATAAAGATCAATCCGATTGTGTCTCCATGAAGAAATTTGGCATGTGTTAACCATCTTAGAGAAACCAGTCCTAGACAGTTTTTCCAATTCATATGAAACTTGGCATTATTCAAATTGTTTCACAAATACGCATGTGTATTTCTCCACGTAGCCTGTAATTACTAATTGACCCCACATCTTCAGAGTACAATATCCAAAGGTCCACAAAACCTGTGGCAGATGGACACCATGGCGGTTTGTGTCCTGTGGGAATCACTACACAACTGTTTGATCGAAAACACTGATCTGCTCTTTCATAGTCTTGATTATATTGTCACATCTACTTGACACTTGCTGCTACAACATTTCATCACACATGTACTACTTATATTCACACAGTATTTTACATGCCTTTTCTTTATTGAGAGACAAAAATGCGCACACACACTTACCTCACATGCCATAGTAGGAAAACCTCTCACAGAACTCATTGACCACAATAAAGAAAATGCTGATTGGATAGCCACAACACTCAGCCGTCTGTACCAACACACACAAACATACATTACATAAGCTGTAAACATTTGGAAGCACATCATCATATTCCATAATAATTGTAAACACTGACAGACATTTACTTGATTCCAAAACACACACGTCTACTACAGAGTATATCCAAAAATAGCATATACAGGTGCATCTCAATAAATTAGAATGTCGTGGAAAAGTTCATTTATTTCAGTAATTCAACTCAAATTGTAAAACTTGTGTATTAAATAAATTCAATGCACACAGACTGAAGTAGTTTAAGTCTTTGGTCCTTTTAATTGTGATGATTTTGGCTCACATTGAACAAAAACCCACCAATTCACTATCTCAACAAATTAGAATATGGTGACAAGCCAATCAGCTAATCAACTCAAAACACCTGAGCCTTCAAAATGGTCTCTCAGTTTGGTTCACTAGGCTACACAATCATGGGGAAGACTGCTGATCTGACAGTTGTCCAGAAGACTTGATAATCATTGACACCCTTCACAAGGAGGGTAAGCCACAAACATTCATTGCCAAAGAAGCTGGCTGTTCACAGAGTGCTGTATCCAAGCATGTTAACAGAAACATGTAGCTAAAATTATTTCATTAATCTTACCTTTTTCTTCGTTTTCTTAGTCTCGTCCATCTTTTCGTCTGCGAGATTGGTCAATTTTTAGTTCACATTCAACATCAAACAAATAGTAATGATAATTTCTGTGCATGTAAATGGTTTAACACACACACAAGGTCCTCACCTGGCATATTGGCAGCAGAAGTGTGTGTATATGTGTGTGACCTGCTGGATACCTGTGTGAGAAAAGACCTGACCAGGGCAGGATGTCTGAGTAAGAGCAGCTGGAACAGGTGTGTGTGTGTGTGTGTGTGTGTGTGTGTGTCTTATTAACATGGACTGTGGCCTGTCTGCTTTATGACATGAAAAAGAGCAAGACTGATAGATAATACTCAGGAGTCCATAGGGTATAAACACCAGCTCACACGGTATTTCTACACTGTTTATAGTGGATTACAGAAGAAGCAACATTAAATCAAGTCAAATCTTCACATAAAAAGACCAAACAAACAACAAAAAACCTAAAGCAAAACAAAAAAACAAGACAAGACAAAACACTAAAGAGAAGTGAAAACAAAAATAATACAAAACAAAAGACAACAAAAAATAACAAAACAAAAAATACAAAAGACAAAAACAAAGCGAAATAAAAATAAGACAAAACAAAACAAAACACTAAAGACAAGACAAAAACAAACAAAAATAAGACAAGACAAAACTAAAAATACACCAGACAAAGCAAAAAACTAAAGACAAGACAAAAATAAGACAAAACAAAACAAACAAATGAACAATACAAAATAAAAAATAAGACATGACAAAACAAAAGGACAAAAAAACCCCCCAAAAACTAAAGAAAAAACAAAGAAAACAAAACAAAAAACTAAACAAGCCAAAAAAAACAACAGAGACGAAAAGGCAAAACACAACAAACAAAGGACAAAACAACATACAAAAGACAAGATAAAACAAAATATAATATGATGATTAATGCTGGCTAAAAATCTATGGTTAAAAAAACTGAAAGTGTTTGAGAAATGTGTGAGATTTTATTCAAAGCATTAGGGACATTATCAGTTTAAATACAGCAGAGCCGAGACTGTTAAATACAGATAAAACAATATCACATTCAGCTGTCCCACAGTATAAAAATATTTAATAACGATAGGCATAATGTTGAACATTAGCATTTGTGTCTGCACAAGCCCCGCCGCACCTCCAGTGTAACCTCATCACAATGCCACGCCCACTCAACCTGCGTCTGCTGCACACTCACACTCACAGACACATGGATCACATATGACATCTTCAAATCAGATGCTGATGGCGGTTCTTGTAAATGTAAATGGTTAAAACTTGGTTTTGGATGCGTTAGATTAACCGTTTGACAGCACTACATCAAACATTTACAGACATCATTTAGGTTGCGTTTGCATGATCTCACAACATGAAAAGAGAGGTTTTACACAATTCAAATTATGCCTCTATGAGTTTAGACTCAGACTATATAAGAAACTCATAATTTCAGTAAGAAAGCATTTTAAATGGAGATGAGAGAATGCAGAAAGTATTATTTAAAATAGCATGGGTATAAAGCATTGAATGACAGGTGTGTGAATCCTGTGGGTTTCTGTGGCTGCAGATTCCATGCAGGCCTAACAATGCTTCAGTTATATGAAATAATTTACCATTCAGTCTGACCATGAAAGCAAAAGAGGAAAAGAAAACAAGGAGAGATTAAAGAAAAAAAAGAAAATTCAAGTATCAGAAGTTTAAGATCAGTGTGTTTGTGTGTCTTACAGGCTCGTGCATAATGGCGGACAGCTCTTTAGTGAGATCTCTGTAGTTGGCCTTCATCTCGTCATGATACTCCTGCTGATCTTCTTTAATCAAACGCTCATTAACACCTAAACCAAGACCACACGCCTCCACAAACTGCCTGCAAAGCACCACACAAATACACACAATTTCATATTTCAATTTCGATACCAGTCAATGTGTGCACACACATAAATTGTTACAATAAATTTCTACACAAAATAATATAGTGAAGGAAACAGAGTACGCAGAGCTGTAAAGGTGCCCAAGGCGGCTATAAAAAAACCCACCCTCAAATATAAGATTAGATTTATTTAAATAAAATAAAAAATGCATAATTTAGTTAACATAACTCCAATGCTTACATAAGTGTTTTTGTGTTATTTCATAGGGTCTTTCATCATTTTTAATCTCTTAGCTCTTTTGAAGTTTAATTGTAGTTCAATGTGAGCTCATTATTATACATTGCACATAAGAGTCTGTGAGATTTGTCTGTTTTTGAAAAGAAGTCTATGCTCAACAAGCCTTCATTTATTTGAACAAAAATACAGCAAAAACAGTAACACTGTAAAATATTATTACAATTTAAAATAACTATTCTCTATTTCAATACGTTAAAATATAATGAAAACAGGCTTATTTTTGTGGAAATGCCTGATACATTTTTTTCAGGATTCTTTGATAAAGTTCAAAAGAACAGCATTTATTTGAAATAGAAATCTTTAGTAACATTATAAATGTCTATACTGTCGCTTTTGATCAATTTAATGCATCACTGCTGACTAAAACTATGAATTACAAAAATGTATATATATGCAATGTTGTTTATGATAGTTTTAGATGAAGGACTGCTCAGAGACTGAAGTGTGTGTTTTACCGGAAAACTTCTTTCAGCTGTTTGACTTTGTTGTCTGGGTATTTCTTAGTGCTGGCATCATCCAGGAAAGCCCTGGCGTAGGCAAGAGGGCCAGCGTTTACCTAAAGAGAGGGTAACAGGCAGGTTTACAGACTTAATAAAACTTAACTCGTGTGTGTGTGTGTGTGTGTGTGTGTGTGTGTACCTGCACACTGATGCTGCCCTGTAGTTTGAGCTGCAGCTGGATCATGTCCACATCGCTGCAGGAACACAGCTGTCTGATCTCCAACACCTTCTTACTCATCTCATCAATGGCCACCTCAATGGGGTTCAAATCCACATGGTGCTGATACATCACCGCGATCCGCTTCTTCACATATGGGAAACAGTGCGTGGCTGAGAGATGAAGAGAAAGAACGGAAGATTTACTAGTGAACTCTAACCAAGAATAAAGTTAGATGTTATATTACAGTCTAGATTAGTAGAATGTTTTTGGTCTATAAAAGGTTAAATGAAAAGCGCTTTTAAAATCCTGAACACTGAACGGTTTGAATATGATTATCTCTCTTATATTTGAGCCCAGCTCTGCTCGCTTTGGACATTCACTCTACCAACTTCATGAGGTGCCTCATGAGATGCTTTTAAGCAGTCTTGACATGTACGCTGAGCCTTAGAGACACAGAGACCGTCTGGATCTGCTCGGTGAAGATAAGGGCTGTACTTCGTGTTTGGGAGGATCAAATAACTGTCAAACAGCACAGACGGGGAAATGATTCAGCTGACACTCTGATTTTTTATCACGGGACTCTCTGGAAGTGTCAGTCACTTATCTCTATCTCTCGTCTCTATGGTCAGTATGTAGTATGTAAAGCCCCGTTCACACCAATAACGATAACTATAAATATAACTATATTTGCGTCCACACCAGCGGACGATATCATCTGATTATTCCAAGCGCACACTCGTCTGCCACTTTAAATTCTCCAGCTCGTCATAGCAGGATTGATTCTGATTGGCTGTCAATGTTTTTATCGTTCATCAGCTGGAAAAAACATCGTTCTGAAAGTGATTCCAACGATATCGTTTCTCTGTGCCTTTATCGTTATAGTTGTGGATGCTGCTATTCTTTATTATTGAGAACGATTTTTAGAACTATATCTGTATCGTTATCGTGCTTGGTGTGAACGGGCCTTAAGTGTGTGTACTCACTGGTGAGGATAGTCCTGCGTTTGCACTGTTCCTCTATGCCGCCTTGTTTTTTGCCTGAAACGGTGAACGGCATCTCGAAGACAAATCGACGGATGTTGTGGCTCCTCTCAAAGTCGTTTTTTCTCTCCACCAACTCCTTCTCCTCCAGGAATGGGGTGACATGAGTCACTTGGATGTAGGCGTATTTAGAGTCCAGATCCTTTGGATTAATCTGCACCAAACAGTAATGAAGCTTTAGCTAAAAGGCAGTTATAGTTGTAGTGCTAGTTAAGCTACATTGTTCAACACTGGTTAAATATGTCTGGACTTCTACACCTCATGGCAAACACAAATCTTGATTCTTAAAGGGGTGGTTCATTGCGATTTCACTTTTTTAACGTTAGTTAGTGTGTAATGTTGCTGTTTGAGCATAAACAATATCTGCAAAGTTACGAAGCTGAAAGTTCAATGCAGACGGAGTTTATTCTGGCAGTTTAATGCCTACAAAAATGGCTCATAGGGACTACAACGAGTTACTTCCCGGGTTTGTGACATCACAAACCCAGATAAACCCCACCTTCGGGAAAAGGCAGCAAAGGGGGCGAGGCCATGCTGCGCTCCTTTAGAGAAGAGGAAGAGAAAACTAGAGGTGCACGTAAAAATCTATACATATATGAATCGCGATTCTGTCTTCTAACGATTCTAATGGATTCACAAGTTTCAAAATCAATGTTCTAAAGCAGTGGTTCTTAATACTTTAAAAGCCGTGCTTGCACAGGTTCTGCACGATCCTTTTCAATAATATCCTCTGCATCTCAATCGAGCTCAAACTGATAAGCGATATTAACAACGCCTTTGTTTACAATACAACCGGAGCACATGCCACTGAGGTGAGGGTCGGGACGTTTAGATGTGCACTAGAGGTGGTTTAACCAATCACAACACACTGGGCTAGCTAACCAATCAAAGCCCATCGCCTATTTCTGAGGGAGGGGCTTCATAAAAGAAGGAAATGATCAGCGCGTTTCTCAGAGAAGGGACAGAGCGGTTTGGAATAAAGGTAAATTATGTGAAAAATAATGCATTTTTAAAAAAACGAAGCATTAACACATGTTAGACTGCACCCCATAAACACAATCAAGCCTAGAAAAAAAACAGTCAACCACCCCTTTAAACCTTAAAATCTTCTAGAAAAGCCCACATTGCAGTTATACACCATCAAAATCAATTGCATACCAATTTATCAAAAAGTAACTTACTCATCGCTACACATTGCTATCTTCTATAATTTAGTTTCAGCTTCAGGACAAGAACTATCCATTTTATAGCAGCACATACATAAGACATCCTAGACTTGTGTTTCTGTCTTACTTACACTACTTTTCAAAAGTTTGGGTCAGTAATAAAACTTTTTCACAGCAACAATGCATAAAATTGATCAAAAGCAACAGCAATTTATTTATAAAATTACAAAAAAATGTAATTCTCTTTTGAACTTTCTGTTCATCAAAGAATCATAAAAAACTGTTTGCATAAAAATATTAAGCAGTACAACTGATTTCAAAATTTACAATAGTAAGAAATGTTTCTTGAGAATTAAAGCAGCATATTATTATGATTTCTGAAGGATCATGTGACACTGAAGACTGGCGTAATGGTGCTGAAAATTCAGCTTTACATCACAGGAATAAACTACATTTTAAAATATGTTAATATTTCACAATATTACTGTTTTACTGTATTTTTGATTAAATAAGTGGAAACTTGCTGAGCATAAGACTTCTGTATTCAAAAACTATTATTATTTATTCAAAAACTAAATTCAAAAAAATCTTACTGACCTCAAACCTTTGAATGGTGGTGTATACTGTATATACAAGATTTATATATGATATACTGTATACAATTTCATAAAACCATGACACATTTTACGGGTCAGTAAAATTCTTCCCGTTAAAGAAAAAAGATTTTCACAGTGATGCCATAGAAGACCCATTTTTTCTTAGTATAAAGAACAATTTAATAATCTAAGGAAACTTTAGTGCAATGGAAAGGTTCATGGATGTTAAAGGTTTTACATGGAACCAAAAAACTTTAATTTTAGGAGTGTGGGTAGTTCTTGACCAGAATAAGCTGCAATGTGAATCAGACTTTGTTCTGATAATCAAAAGTCTGTACATTTCTTACCTTGCCAGAATCCTGAATCATTTTGACATTCTCAGCTCCAAACTTGTCTGAATACAGTTTAAGGAGTCTTTGTGAGATCTCAGACAGCGGGGTGAATTTGGGCTCCTTGTATATGTATTCTTTCCCGTCTTCATCCTCGAAGAATCCCTAAAACAACAAGCACATCTGAATCAATCGGAAGAAACTCACTCAACTTCTAAATCCTGCTCCTGAAACAAAATCAGGCTACTTGCCAACTAATTTTTGAGTACTAAGTTAGCCACAAGACACAATTATTTTCAACAGCAATCTGGAAATACTAGGAGGTATAAATACTGTAAAAGTGTTTTGATCCTAATTATTAAACAGGGATTATGATGACTTCCACACCCAGCAGGACAACACACACGTAGAACTAATGTTGAGTTGGTTACACTTTATTTTAAGGTGTCCTTGTTACAGTGTAATTATACATATAAGTACTGAGTATTATTAATCAACTACATGTACTTACTATATGGTTAGGGTTACTTGCATATAATTATGCATAATTAATTGTTATTATAATAGTAAGCACATGTAACATGTGTAACAAGGACACCTTAATATAAAGTGTTACCGTTGAGTTTACCTCGTTCATCTCGGAGTCATTACACTGGTACTGCTAGAGACACAAACCACCACAGCGACAGAAACAACTCATCAATGACTGCACGCAGTCAGAAACACACTTCAGATGAGAGGAGCACGATGAGACACTGCGGTCTAACTAAGCACCCATTTTATGGTGTTATCTTACTAGTCATTTCATATGAAAAGAATACAAAAAACAAGAAATAGGTAGCTGAGTTGAAATACATTTGGGAAGTTGATTATAGTAAAAAGCATTTTGCTAATTCTTTAATGACTTTTTTTAGGGCTCTTAGTTAAAAAATTTAATTGCCAGTTATTCACATTTTTACCAATATGTTCTGCCAAAAGGTATTACATTATTGTGGCAGATAAGTACATATTGGAAAGACATTACAAAACATGGCTTTAGAAGGGAGTATATTTCTGTTTCCAAATCACTGAATGTAAGCCTATCGCTGGGTCACAACAAAAAGTCACAACATACACTTGAAAATAGTACTAATTACAAAAATAATACACTTGCATGCAAATTTTCGCACACTTAATTGCATGTTAATTGCATATAAGTGAAAATGGATTATAGTTTAAATTTATGTTAAATGCAATTAGCTGAACTTTTTTTTGACCCGCTAATGTGTGTAGGATTACTTCTATTGTCTTTGAAATATGGTTCAAAGTGTATTGTCAAATTTACTGACAAGCATTTATGATACTTTAAATGTAATATCTACGGAAGTTCTAAGCGGCCATGCACTATTTTTTTTTCCCTTCTTGTTTTCTCGTTATAACGACTTATTTTCTCGTTATATCGACATAACGAGAGTTGTTTTCTCGTTATAACGACTTAATTTTCTCGTTATATCGACATAACGAGAGTTGTTTTCTCGTTATAACGACTTAATTTTCTCGTTATATCGACATAACGAGAGTTGTTTTCTCGTTATAACGACTTAATTTTCTCGTTATATCGACATAACGAGAGTTGTTTTCTCGTTATAACGACTTAATTTTCTCATTATATCGACATAACGAGAGAAGAAAACAACTCTCGCTATGTCGATATAACGAGAAAATTAAGTCGTTATAACGAGAAAACAACTCTCGTTATGTCGAGATCACAAGAAAATTAAGTCGTTATAACGAGAAAACAACTCTCGTTATGTCGAGATCACAAGAAAATTAAGTCGTTATAACGAGAAAACAACTCTCGTTATGTCGAGATCACAAGAAAATTAAGTCGTTATAACGAGAAAACAACTCTCGTTATGTCGATATAACGAGAAAATAAGTCATTATAACGAGAAAACAAGAAGGAAAAAAATAATAATGCATGGCCGCTTAGAACTTCCGTAAATATCAAATAACACACTGCAGTTAAAATTATAATCAAGTACTTTACATGTGCTTCAGTATGTTAGTCACACATCAAAATAAGTGTACTTAAAAGCACGACAAAAAGATTATTGAAACATAATGATTTAAAACGTACTTTAAAGTAAAACTTTTCATTTGACATTATTACAAAGTGCACATTGAAGTGGCGTTTTATTGCATCAATTATATATTACGTGCAGTATTTTACTTTTACGATTTGAAGTGCACTACAAATGCACATTCAATACAATTATCTCATCATATCTTGATGTTCATGGACATTTTATGTGTTACCAAACAAATGGAGATTGCAATGTTTATACATTAGAGCAGTGGTTCTCAATTCCAGTCCTCGTGTACCACCGCACTGCACATGTTTTTTTATGAGAAACAGATAACAGATAAATAAAGACACAATTAAATAAATAAATAATAGATAAATAAAGACACCACTAAAAGTCATTATAGAGCTCGTCCTGATAAAGACATGATGAGTAAAGCTGATGAGACTCACCTGTCCGAAGAATGCTACTCTGAAATATGTTCCCAGCAAGCGCTTGCCTGTGTGCATGACCTCTGTGACCTTACTGTAGGCACGGTGCAGGGTGCCATAGAGGTGAGCCAGTCTCTGCCACAAACATGAGCAACAGAGTTTACGAAACACATCGGCTCTGATTTCAAGGGAAGGTGTCATTTCTGCATTGAAGTGTGTCATTTTAGGGAGTGAAACCTTGAAATGGATCAACTTAGGTATGCGGCGGTAACCCATCCTTAGATATCAAAACATGTGTTACTGCTGTACCTCAAAGTCTCTGCGTTTCTCATAAATGGGAATTATGAGTTTGTAGATGTCAGAGATGAGCTCATAACGCTCCGCTTTCCACAATCCATCAGCACATTCTTCCAGAAGCTCCATCAGGACGTCCTATGACCCACAGACAAACACACACTTATACCCTTACAACAAAGATACTAAGTATACAGTGAATACAAAAGTATTTAGTCTCACTTTGATGTCTCCACATAACATACAAAATAACAATGCAAGTGTCATCTATTGCTCAATGAGTTTTGCATTAGTTTTTATTTTTGTATTTTCCATTTTTCTTTCTTTTTCAGTTTTTATTCAATTGAATTGTTAAAGTTTTACTAATTTTGTTTTGTTTGTCATTTTTTTTAAAACGTCTATATAGTTGTATATTTTTTTTAAATAGAAATTATATAAAACTATATTAATGAATGGTTTTAGTGTTTGTTAACTATAATAGCCCTGCTTCAGAGGGCTGAAGGCTGTTGATTATTCATTACAGCGAGGTGGTCTTTCTGCTGGACCTTAGGCCTGTCGCACCTCCTACGGTGCCTATGGTGGACTATGCATGGCAGGGGCGTCCTCTTCCCTGAGGCGGGCCTAAACCTGACCGCATACCACATGGTTTTTCTGCAGGGTCTTCAGCTGGGGACCACCGCTCATTGACGTTTCTCCCCTTACCCCAGAACGTCTCCTGGTGGCGGGGCAGTGAACAGGGACATCTACCTGACACCCCCTGCAGCAAACCCTAATTCGATGTTACTCCCCAAGCATTGTCTCGTCGTTTCAGCCAGAGCCAGTGGCTTGCTTTCTCCTCTTCCTCAGAGAGCTCTTTGGTGGATCTGCTCAGTGTGGCTCCCCATAGTCCCAGGTCCTTGAGCAGGCATGATCTGCCCACAAAGCCTCTGGCTCCCACCTCCACCAGGTACAGCCTCACCCTCCAGCCACTTTCTCTGCACTCCGCGACCAAGTCTGCATACTTCGCCTTATTTCTCTCGTAGGCAGCTTCCAGTCCCTCCTCCCATGGCACTGTCAGCTCGATCAGTATCACTGACTTCACAGCTGCAGACCACAGCACCACGTCTGGTCTTAATGTGGTGCTGCATATCTCCTGTGGGAACTGGAGCTGCCTTCCCAGGTCTACTTCCATCTTCCACCCCGCCCCTGGTGTTAATAGCTTGGTGGGTGGTCTCTTGCTGGTATGCACTGCGGGTTCCCCCTGCCTGAGGAAGTGGATCTAGCATCGACTCTCTAATGGACTCTGATTATTTGCCTCCTGCCGACTTTTCTCCAGCACCTCTGCCAGCTTCCTGAGCACTTGGTCATGCTGCCATCTGAGCCGACCCTGTGTCAGTGCTGTTTTACAGCCCGACAGAACATGCTGGAGCGAGGCATTGATGGTCCCGCAGAGGTCACAGGATTGCTCTGTTCCAAGCCATTGGTGGAGGTTTTTAGGGCTCGGGAGGGTGTCGTATGTTGCCCTAATGAGGAAACTGAGCCGAGCCTGTGGTAGTTTCCAGAACTCTGCCCAGCTAACTGCTCGGCTCGCGACACCCTCCCAAGTTGTCCACCGCCCCTGCTAAGTGTTTTATCTCTCAGTCACAGTGGAGATAAGCTCAACATAATCAACATCAGTTACATGGACATTAGTTTATTGCTTCCCTCTTTTACTGTACTAATGTTAAACTAAATCAGCTCTGACACTCTATAATGCTGTATCCTAACCTGCTGCGATGGGACAAACAACGCATGGCATTTCGTTGATCAAAATATGATAACCCTGCCTCCAGTGAAATCTTATTGGTCCAAAAACTTCCACCTCAAAATTAAATATTCAACATCAAATACGTTCTCGGCTGTGATTGTGTAATGCCACGCAACAGTTTTGCATTCAGTGTGAACAGACAATTCACATCGTCCATCTTAGAAGATTCAGATATGGATATTCAATGTGTTTTTTAATAGAAACAATGGATTCCTATGGAGTTACTCACACAGATGATATTGTAGTGAAATATATATCCAGGAAGTCAGGGGTCAGAGATATATTTCTGCAGCAGTGCTCTTTACTCATCTCATGCGCAATACAGATTCAATACTCAAAATGAATCAAGCACTTTATGGATTTAATATCACTTCATTTATCGGTGTTGTTGCTGCTGACCTTTGATTACTAAATTCTGCCATTTATTTTTCATTGTATAAAATCAATCTTAAACTCGCTTCTCCTGTATTCTGCTTCTGATACCAGCTAAAAGGTGGGTTTCCCATCACTCCATCTGTTATATTGTGTGAATTTGCTTTCTGCTCAGCACGATGGCTGTTTTTGACCTCTGAGGTGAACGAATGGTCTGTTGACTGTCAGACAGATAGTCACCTCATTAAAGTGAACATCCTGCATCCCCACATCTTCCATCATGGACGCTTCCTCATCGATGTTTGGTGTGACCACTCTGAATGCAGTACAGCCCTGTTTAAACATGCCTGCACAAACACACAAACAACCATTACAATTCACATTTGGAGCGACGGACATCGTTTCCTGAAGCATTACCACTTTAAAAACAGACAGTATGACTGCAGCCAGTTGTGTGATAATGTCTGGTAGAAAAGGTGAAAGGTCATTGTTTGGAGTGAGTCCTGGTCATTAAGCGTCTTAATTCTTAGAACTGCAGCATAATGTGAGTAATATACTGAGTGATAACTTCACGGGCTTTATCAGACATGGTGAAAAGAGAGAGAGATATGAGGAAAAAGAGAAGGTGAGAAAAGAAACTAGACTGATAGTGAATCATTAAGAGTAATTATCCCAAAAAATTCGATATGTGTCCTTGGTAGTTAAGACTTAAGTAATCTCAGCAATTACAGACCAGACAGCAGGATTTTCAAAAGTGTAAAAAAAAAAAATATATATATATATATATATACACACACACACACACACACACACATATATATTAGGGCTGTCAAAATTAACGCGTTAATGCAAATTCATTTTAATGGAACTAACTAGCTGGTTATGTAGTCTTAAAGGATCGCGTTTCAGTCACTATTTCATATTCATTCTGTTGTCTGACAACAGAAACAGTAAAATATATAAATGAAAACAGTTTTACTGAGAATTTAGCTGCATCAAATTACAGTATGTGGGCACAGAGAGGAAAACAAATGTATTCATAAATAATAAATGTACATGTTGCATGTTCGGAAGAAGTGAGCTGCCCTGTCCTGCAAATAATGCAAATAAAGAGAAGTAATGGGAACCTGGTATTTCTATGTTCTTTTTTTAATGTGTCTAAAAGACTTGAACAAGTTCTTTGAAAAACAGCTATGACCTTTGAAACATGTCTAGTCTTCATGCTCTATGTTGACTATGGTTTCACTAATAATAAACATACATTTAGATTAGGCATCCATGTTTGTCCATGCCCATGTTGATTAGAGTATTAAAAACTTGAAAAGTATTAATTTAAGGTACATTTAGAACAGATAAAAATGTGCGATTAAGTTGCGATTAATCGTGAGTTAACTCATGACAATCATGCGATTAATCGCGATTAAATATTTTAGTCGGTTGACAGCCCTAATACACATAAATAAATTACAATTAAGACACTTAGCAGTAACTTCTACATTTTTCAAGATGTTATTCCAGTATCCCAAAATCAGAAAATGATACAATAGTGTACATTTTATATATATATAAACTGTTTTATATTATATATACTTCAAACTCAATTCAATAGTTTATATATAAAAATGTGGAATGTAACAACATACATATTACATAAAACATATAATTTTTTAATATTATTAAATATTACTACAATTTAAAGAAACTGTTTTTAAATAGTATATATTTAATATATACTACTACGCACACACACACATATATATACATATATATATATATATATATATACACACACACACACGTGATACAAAGCTGAATTTTCAGGATCATTACTCCAGTCTTTAGTGTCACATGATCCTTCAGAAATCATTCTGTGCTCATAATGAGCTGATTTGTTGCTCAAGAAACATTTATTATCAATGTTAAAAACAGTTGTGCTGCTTAATATTTTGTGGAAACTGTGATACATTTATTTCCACAATTCTTTGATGAATAGTTCAAAGAATAGTATTTATTTAAAATATATTTCTTTAAACAATATAAAAATATATGCTGTCAATTTAATGCATCCTTACCTGAATAAAAGCATTACATTTTTAAAAAATCTTACTGACCCCAAACATGTACTTTGCTCACTATGGAACACTGACCTACAATTGTGTCTTTTACAACCGCTGGTTGTCTCAGTTATCTCAGACTGCCGTCACATGTAGGCCTGTCACGATAACAACTTTTTGTTGTGCGATATATTGCCCCAGAAATAACTGCGATAAGCTATATTATTGTCATTTTAAAGACCATTTAACTAATATTATTAATTTATTGAAATATACAACTGTTAGTAACTACAAACCAACATTTGGTTCTAAATATTCTTCCATTTTTTTATATTGTACATTTTATTTTAATATTTATTGAAAGTGCCTTATGCCTTGATGTTTTTTTTTTTTTTTACATTTTATTTCAGAGATTTTCCAGGGTCACTGTTGTACTCTAACGTGTTTTTCACACTACCTCCACATGACTAAAGGTGACGATCCCTTGACTATAATAGCATGTGTTTGTGTGTGTGTGTGTCTAACCTTTCCTCCTCAGGTATTCGGCCACCAGCGCTCCCACATGCACATAACACATGGCTGCCTGAAGAGAACCAAATAAGAGAACATGAGCTTCACAGTATGTTAGACATGCATGAAGATTTGTGTGTGTGTCACTGTGTGTGTTGTACCTCAGAGAGATCTCCATTCTTCACGTGGATACGGGCCATGCTGTCCAGCCATGTCTTGCGGAGCTCAGGAGTGCTGGCGTAAGATTTGGCCAGACTGTACTGCAGGTCCACCAGCATCTCCGGATCTCTCTCGTGCTCCTTCATCTGAGCCGTGGCCATCAGTACAGTCCGGATCTTCTTGGTCAGGTCTTTCACATCAGATGGGAATGCTGTGTTCTGCAGGAGAGGGAAGGGGACGAGAGACTGTGTGTGAATGTGCAAATGTAAGAGTATGAGCTTGTGCACAACTTAATTTGCCCTGGAACAAGCTATTATGGTTCAATCCAATAGTTTTGAGATTGTGTAAATTGCCAAAGTAACATTCTAGATTTATATTTCAAATATATGCCATTCCTTTAATCTTTCTATTCATCAAAGAAACCTGAAAAAAAAGCATCAGGGTTTCCATAAAAATAGTATGCAGTACAACGGTTTTCTATATCTATAATAATAAGAAATGTTTCTAATATGTGAACAAGCATATTTCTGTGACGCCAAAGACTGGAGTAATGGCTGCTGAAAATACAGGTTTGCATCAAAGATATTCAATTGGAAACAGTTATTTTAAATTGCAATAATATTTCACAATATTACTGTTTCCCCCCCACCACAGTCAAATAAATGCAGCCTTGGTGAGCATAAGAGAAAACATTTAAAAAATCGTACAATCCCCAAACTTTTGAATGGTAGTGTACATTAATATATTATATATCTGAGAATGATTCAAGGGTCATCTTAGATATCTGACCATTTGTACAAAAGAGCTTACATGTGACAAACAACATTTCTTTTCAGAGTTTTCAAAATTCAGTTTATTTCCAAAATACATTGCATTTTTAATCCCCCCCAAAAATCCGTCTGTCCCCAAAAACTAGATAATTCCCACAATAATAGGATCCATCTCTGCTCATTTTTCAGGATTGTTTGCATGTAAGTGTATCTGAAATGAACTTACTTTGATAGTTTTGTCACTGTTGGCACAGTTGTTGATGATTGACAGCGACTGCTGGAACCTCGTCCCTCCTATTCCGATGACATCAGCGATCAGCTGACTGACGCCAATCACCACCTGAGGAGTCACAACCAATCACAACATGACGTCGCTATTACATCACCACGTGTAAAGACTGGATGAAGCAATCCAGACACATCCACACACTGTGACTTCTGCGTCACGTGATAAACGTGGTGTTTTTCCACCTGCAGGTGCGTGCGGATGAAGGATTTGCGTCCAGTGTAGTCGAAGTTGCTCTTCATCAGGAAGTAGAGCAGACGAGCCGCGTCGCTGCGGATGGAGCTCAGTTTGGAGTTACAGCACTTCAGGATCTCATAGCAGAAAGATGCACACATATCCGCACGGCCCTCGAAAAACGTACAAGGAAACTGGACACACAGGAAAACAGCAGCATGAGCATTCTTCAAAAATTCTTGTACGTGTCCTAAATTCTGCTTTACTGTTGACGAATTCTGTGCTTTCGGTTTTATTTTTTCTGGATTCCAATTTAATGGTTTAATACAATTTCAATGATCATAAATTCTAACCAACTGAATTAATAAAACTATAACAATTTTATAATTTATAACAATTTACTCTCTTTTAATTGATCTGGATCTATGATTTAATACACACTTATTATCAAAAACAGTGGTAATTAAATGAAGGCATACATCATTAACCATTTAATTAATCTTTTAAAAATATAATCAAATGAAAACGTAACAATTCCTATTATTTATTTATGTTGTTAACAAAGTGCTGCGCAACAATTGTGTGATATTCCTTAAAAAAATAAAGGTTTAATTATTTTATCTTTATTATATAAAACTGTGCAGCTCATTCACACAGAGACACGCAGAACATGCAGACTCCATATTTAAATATCAGTCTTTTGGAGTTGAATTTTCACAGACCCAGTCCATATCGCAATTTGATTAATTGTACACTTTTGATACTTTTGATTTATTAATCCACATTTTTCCAAATTCTCTATTTTCCACACCCCAGAAATCATAGGGCCCTAGTAAATGATGACAGAATTTTCACTTCTGGATGGACTATCCCATTGACAGCCATTGATTTATGTGCTTATTCTATTGTCACACTCACCTTGTAGATGAAAGTGCGAAGGGAAGTGAAGACCTGCTTGAGGGCCGTCTCTGATTGGTTGATTTGTAAGAAGCAGAGATGAACCTGGAACACTTTCTTCATGAGGGGATTGTGGCCATGATCCAAACTCAGCGGAGTCTGAGTGCAAACAAACAAATAAACACACACACTGTTATCAGTGAGGAATAAAGCACATGAGCATCACTCGTGAGAGCAGGTGATGATGATGATGATGATGTCTGACCTTAAAGGCAATGATGAAGATGCTCAGTGTGTCCAGAACTGTTAGACAAACTTCTGTGGCAATGTTTCCTTCCAACAGAGACTGATTCAACACATCTGCATCTGAATGGCTGTAAGCTACAAACACACACACACACACACACACAGATGAAAATGTGTTCATTTTACAGGCTCAAGAAGTAAATGAGTTTGTTTCTTCCTCAGAAAGATTTCAGAAATGTAGCATTGGATCACTTGCTCAGCAATGGATCCTCTGCAGTGAATGGGTGCCGTCAGAATGAGAGTCCAAACAGCTGATAAAAACATCACAATAATCCACAAGTAATCCACACCACTCCAGTCCATCAGTTAACGATAACGACCAAATGCATCATTATTAGCCGTTTTTAACTTTAACTTAGCTTCTGGCTAAAATACGAGCCCTCTAGCCATAATATTCCTTTCTCCAGTCATCTCATCTGAATCAGGAGAGAAATATGCACAGATCAATCGTTGTTTACAACCGTTTACAAGCAGCATATTAGGTTCTACAAATTTGTCAGTGGGTTTTAATGTAAGAGGTCAAGAAGTGATTGAGTTCTTAACTGCAAGTGGTGTTATGGACTAGTATTTTGGCGAGACACGACAGTTTCAAGTTAAAAATGTCTTAAAAATGGATTTGTTTCTTACAGACATGCAGCTTTTTTATTTCATAAGATGTTAATTGATGGACTGGAGTCGCATGGATCTGGAAATGGATCATTTGTGGATTATTGTGATGTTTTTAGCAGCTGTTTGGACTCTCATTCTGACGGCACCCATTCACTGCAGAGGATCCACTGGTGAACAACTGATACAATGCTTAATTTCTCCTAATCTGATGAAGAAACAATCTCATCTGCATCTTGGATGGCCCGAGGATGAATACATTTTCAGCAAATTTTCATTTTTGGGTAAACTATTCCCCTAAATAATCTTTGACCAGTTTTCATTTGATCTCATAAATTAAGTCCAATACTTCCAACATTAAATGTTACAAATAAAACAGAAGAAAGCTTTCTTTTCTGGTCTTTTATTGAAAGACAACAGAGAGCTGCAGATGTATTAGCTGGTTTTGTGCGCGTCTCACTGTGGTTGTACGTGTAGGAGTTGTCCAGACTGTTGAGCTGCTGCAGTCTCATATGCAAGGCTCCTGTCCTGCTGCGGGACACAGGAAGAGTCTGAGAGCGTCGCTCGTGAACCACCGGCCCTGATCCCTCCAGAGTCCTGATGACAGAGTCAATATTTAACATCAGCTTCTATTATGAGCTCATTAAACACTCTCCGACAACAATAAAGCTTCTGTGATCATTATTAGTGGCCGGCTGAAATGTGTTTGTTATTAACTGCTGTTGGTTTCTATATGTTGGCCATTAGCAGAGTGGTGGTTACTTAGTCAAAACATGCTATTATAAAACATTATTTAGATGTAATTTATTTATAACATGATATATTGGTGTAACACTTGATAATAGGGTTTCATTTGTTACCATTATTCAAGTACAATTTGACATGAAAAACACATACTGAAGCTTTTATTAACCTTAGTTAGTTCATTTCAATATTCACAAATACATGATTAAAATCAAAAGTATCTGTTAATATTATTTAATAGACCTGAAGTAAAATGAACAATTGTATTTTTATTAACCAACATTCATTCAAAGATCAGTAAACACTGTTGCAGATGCATTGCTCATTGTTCAAGTTAGCATTTAGTACCTTATTGTAATGCGTTACCTATATTTCTATATATTACTCACTATATCTTTATAATCTACTATTATAAACGTGCAATATTAGTAAATGTTTGTTAAAAAAAAGACATTACCTTGCAATGTGTCTCTTTCCCATATATCTGAACTGATGAAGACACACTCTGAAATCAGATGAGAAATGAATGAGACAGGAGTGTGTGTGTGTGTGTGTGTGCTGTGAGGTGAAGTGCAGCACTTACTCTAGCAGACTGAAGAAGTTCATCAGGTCTGTGGGTGAAGCTTTATTCCAGTAATTGAACAGAGCATCTAACACACAGCAAGTGCATCAATCAAACGACAGACAACTACAACACAAGCAGGTTCACATCATCTCAGTGTGTGTGTACCTTCAGACATGCTCTTTAGTACGTGCAGGAAGCACATTAATATGTTCTTCACTTCAGATTGGTCCAGTTTGTCACAGCGGAGCAAAGAACTGCCCAGAACCCCAGCGACATGACACTGAGACAGAGAAAACAAGATCAGACATTCATAGGCCACAAAACACTTCTGGACACTTAAGTCATCTCCTGTGGGAACTGGAGCTGCCTTCCCAGGTCTACTTCCATCTTCCACCCCGCCCCTGGTGTTAATAGCTTGGTGGGTGGTCTCTTGCTGGTATGCACTGCGGGTTCCCCCTGCCTGAGGAAGTGGATCTAGCATCGACTCTCTAATGGACTCTGATTATTTGCCTCCTGCCGACTTTTCTCCAGCACCTCTGCCAGCTTCCTGAGCACTTGGTCATGCTGCCATCTGAGCCGACCCTGTGTCAGTGCTGTTTTACAGCCCGACAGAACATGCTGGAGCGAGGCATTGATGGTCCCGCAGAGGTCACAGGATTGCTCTGTTCCAAGCCATTGGTGGAGGTTTTTAGGGCTCGGGAGGGTGTCGTATGTTGCCCTAATGAGGAAACTGAGCCGAGCCTGTGGTAGTTTCCAGAACTCTGCCCAGCTAACTGCTCGGCTCGCGACACCCTCCCAAGTTGTCCACCGCCCCTGCTAAGTGTTTTATCTCTCAGTCACAGTGGAGATAAGCTCAACATAATCAACATCAGTTACATGGACATTAGTTTATTGCTTCCCTCTTTTACTGTACTAATGTTAAACTAAATCAGCTCTGACACTCTATAATGCTGTATCCTAACCTGCTGCGATGGGACAAACAACGCATGGCATTTCGTTGATCAAAATATGATAACCCTGCCTCCAGTGAAATCTTATTGGTCCAAAAACTTCCACCTCAAAATTAAATATTCAACATCAAATACGTTCTCGGCTGTGATTGTGTAATGCCACGCAACAGTTTTGCATTCAGTGTGAACAGACAATTCACATCGTCCATCTTAGAAGATTCAGATATGGATATTCAATGTGTTTTTTAATAGAAACAATGGATTCCTATGGAGTTACTCACACAGATGATATTGTAGTGAAATATATATCCAGGAAGTCAGGGGTCAGAGATATATTTCTGCAGCAGTGCTCTTTACTCATCTCATGCGCAATACAGATTCAATACTCAAAATGAATCAAGCACTTTATGGATTTAATATCACTTCATTTATCGGTGTTGTTGCTGCTGACCTTTGATTACTAAATTCTGCCATTTATTTTTCATTGTATAAAATCAATCTTAAACTCGCTTCTCCTGTATTCTGCTTCTGATACCAGCTAAAAGGTGGGTTTCCCATCACTCCATCTGTTATATTGTGTGAATTTGCTTTCTGCTCAGCACGATGGCTGTTTTTGACCTCTGAGGTGAACGAATGGTCTGTTGACTGTCAGACAGATAGTCACCTCATTAAAGTGAACATCCTGCATCCCCACATCTTCCATCATGGACGCTTCCTCATCGATGTTTGGTGTGACCACTCTGAATGCAGTACAGCCCTGTTTAAACATGCCTGCACAAACACACAAACAACCATTACAATTCACATTTGGAGCGACGGACATCGTTTCCTGAAGCATTACCACTTTAAAAACAGACAGTATGACTGCAGCCAGTTGTGTGATAATGTCTGGTAGAAAAGGTGAAAGGTCATTGTTTGGAGTGAGTCCTGGTCATTAAGCGTCTTAATTCTTAGAACTGCAGCATAATGTGAGTAATATACTGAGTGATAACTTCACGGGCTTTATCAGACATGGTGAAAAGAGAGAGAGATATGAGGAAAAAGAGAAGGTGAGAAAAGAAACTAGACTGATAGTGAATCATTAAGAGTAATTATCCCAAAAAATTCGATATGTGTCCTTGGTAGTTAAGACTTAAGTAATCTCAGCAATTACAGACCAGACAGCAGGATTTTCAAAAGTGTAAAAAAAAAAAATATATATATATATATATATACACACACACACACACACACACACATATATATTAGGGCTGTCAAAATTAACGCGTTAATGCAAATTCATTTTAATGGAACTAACTAGCTGGTTATGTAGTCTTAAAGGATCGCGTTTCAGTCACTATTTCATATTCATTCCATTGTCTGACAACAGAAACAGTAAAATATATAAATGAAAACAGTTTTACTGAGAATTTAGCTGCATCAAATTACAGTATGTGGGCACAGAGAGGAAAACAAATGTATTCATAAATAATAAATGTACATGTTGCATGTTCGGAAGAAGTGAGCTGCCCTGTCCTGCAAATAATGCAAATAAAGAGAAGTAATGGGAACCTGGTATTTCTATGTTCTTTTTTTAATGTGTCTAAAAGACTTGAACAAGTTCTTTGAAAAACAGCTATGACCTTTGAAACATGTCTAGTCTTCATGCTCTATGTTGACTATGGTTTCACTAATAATAAACATACATTTAGATTAGGCATCCATGTTTGTCCATGCCCATGTTGATTAGAGTATTAAAAACTTGAAAAGTATTAATTTAAGGTACATTTAGAACAGATAAAAATGTGCGATTAAGTTGCGATTAATCGTGAGTTAACTCATGACAATCATGCGATTAATCGCGATTAAATATTTTAGTCGGTTGACAGCCCTAATACACATAAATAAATTACAATTAAGACACTTAGCAGTAACTTCTACATTTTTCAAGATGTTATTCCAGTATCCCAAAATCAGAAAATGATACAATAGTGTACATTTTATATATATATAAACTGTTTTATATTATATATACTTCAAACTCAATTCAATAGTTTATATATAAAAATGTGGAATGTAACAACATACATATTACATAAAACATATAATTTTTTAATATTATTAAATATTACTACAATTTAAAGAAACTGTTTTTAAATAGTATATATTTAATATATACTACTACGCACACACACACATATATATACATATATATATATATATATATATACACACACACACACGTGATACAAAGCTGAATTTTCAGGATCATTACTCCAGTCTTTAGTGTCACATGATCCTTCAGAAATCATTATAATATTATTAATTTATTGAAATATACAACTGTTAGTAACTACAAACCAACATTTGGTTCTAAATATTCTTCCATTTTTTTATATTGTACATTTTATTTTAATATTTATTGAAAGTGCCTTATGCCTTGATGTTTTTTTTTTTTTTTACATTTTATTTCAGAGATTTTCCAGGGGCACTGTTGTACTCTAACGTGTTTTTCACACTACCTCCACATGACTAAAGGTGACGATCCCTTGACTATAATAGCATGTGTTTGTGTGTGTGTGTGTCTAACCTTTCCTCCTCAGGTATTCGGCCACCAGCGCTCCCACATGCACATAACACATGGCTGCCTGAAGAGAACCAAATAAGAGAACATGAGCTTCACAGTATGTTAGACATGCATGAAGATTTGTGTGTGTGTCACTGTGTGTGTTGTACCTCAGAGAGATCTCCATTCTTCACGTGGATACGGGCCATGCTGTCCAGCCATGTCTTGCGGAGCTCAGGAGTGCTGGCGTAAGATTTGGCCAGACTGTACTGCAGGTCCACCAGCATCTCCGGATCTCTCTCGTGCTCCTTCATCTGAGCCGTGGCCATCAGTACAGTCCGGATCTTCTTGGTCAGGTCTTTCACATCAGATGGGAATGCTGTGTTCTGCAGGAGAGGGAAGGGGACGAGAGACTGTGTGTGAATGTGCAAATGTAAGAGTATGAGCTTGTGCACAACTTAATTTGCCCTGGAACAAGCTATTATGGTTCAATCCAATAGTTTTGAGATTGTGTAAATTGCCAAAGTAACATTCTAGATTTATATTTCAAATATATGCCATTCCTTTAATCTTTCTATTCATCAAAGAAACCTGAAAAAAAAGCATCAGGGTTTCCATAAAAATAGTATGCAGTACAACGGTTTTCTATATCTATAATAATAAGAAATGTTTCTAATATGTGAACAAGCATATTTCTGTGACGCCAAAGACTGGAGTAATGGCTGCTGAAAATACAGGTTTGCATCAAAGATATTCAATTGGAAACAGTTATTTTAAATTGCAATAATATTTCACAATATTACTGTTTCCCCCCCACCACAGTCAAATAAATGCAGCCTTGGTGAGCATAAGAGAAAACATTTAAAAAATCGTACAATCCCCAAACTTTTGAATGGTAGTGTACATTAATATATTATATATCTGAGAATGATTCAAGGGTCATCTTAGATATCTGACCATTTGTACAAAAGAGCTTACATGTGACAAACAACATTTCTTTTCAGAGTTTTCAAAATTCAGTTTATTTCCAAAATACATTGCATTTTTAATCCCCCCCAAAAATCCGTCTGTCCCCAAAAACTAGATAATTCCCACAATAATAGGATCCATCTCTGCTCATTTTTCAGGATTGTTTGCATGTAAGTGTATCTGAAATGAACTTACTTTGATAGTTTTGTCACTGTTGGCACAGTTGTTGATGATTGACAGCGACTGCTGGAACCTCGTCCCTCCTATTCCGATGACATCAGCGATCAGCTGACTGACGCCAATCACCACCTGAGGAGTCACAACCAATCACAACATGACGTCGCTATTACATCACCACGTGTAAAGACTGGATGAAGCAATCCAGACACATCCACACACTGTGACTTCTGCGTCACGTGATAAACGTGGTGTTTTTCCACCTGCAGGTGCGTGCGGATGAAGGATTTGCGTCCAGTGTAGTCGAAGTTGCTCTTCATCAGGAAGTAGAGCAGACGAGCCGCGTCGCTGCGGATGGAGCTCAGTTTGGAGTTACAGCACTTCAGGATCTCATAGCAGAAAGATGCACACATATCCGCACGGCCCTCGAAAAACGTACAAGGAAACTGGACACACAGGAAAACAGCAGCATGAGCATTCTTCAAAAATTCTTGTACGTGTCCTAAATTCTGCTTTACTGTTGACGAATTCTGTGCTTTCGGTTTTATTTTTTCTGGATTCCAATTTAATGGTTTAATACAATTTCAATGATCATAAATTCTAACCAACTGAATTAATAAAACTATAACAATTTTATAATTTATAACAATTTACTCTCTTTTAATTGATCTGGATCTATGATTTAATACACACTTATTATCAAAAACAGTGGTAATTAAATGAAGGCATACATCATTAACCATTTAATTAATCTTTTAAAAATATAATCAAATGAAAACGTAACAATTCCTATTATTTATTTATGTTGTTAACAAAGTGCTGCGCAACAATTGTGTGATATTCCTTAAAAAAATAAAGGTTTAATTATTTTATCTTTATTATATAAAACTGTGCAGCTCATTCACACAGAGACACGCAGAACATGCAGACTCCATATTTAAATATCAGTCTTTTGGAGTTGAATTTTCACAGACCCAGTCCATATCGCAATTTGATTAATTGTACACTTTTGATACTTTTGATTTATTAATCCACATTTTTCCAAATTCTCTATTTTCCACACCCCAGAAATCATAGGGCCCTAGTAAATGATGACAGAATTTTCACTTCTGGATGGACTATCCCATTGACAGCCATTGATTTATGTGCTTATTCTATTGTCACACTCACCTTGTAGATGAAAGTGCGAAGGGAAGTGAAGACCTGCTTGAGGGCCGTCTCTGATTGGTTGATTTGTAAGAAGCAGAGATGAACCTGGAACACTTTCTTCATGAGGGGATTGTGGCCATGATCCAAACTCAGCGGAGTCTGAGTGCAAACAAACAAATAAACACACACACTGTTATCAGTGAGGAATAAAGCACATGAGCATCACTCGTGAGAGCAGGTGATGATGATGATGATGATGTCTGACCTTAAAGGCAATGATGAAGATGCTCAGTGTGTCCAGAACTGTTAGACAAACTTCTGTGGCAATGTTTCCTTCCAACAGAGACTGATTCAACACATCTGCATCTGAATGGCTGTAAGCTACAAACACACACACACACACACACACAGATGAAAATGTGTTCATTTTACAGGCTCAAGAAGTAAATGAGTTTGTTTCTTCCTCAGAAAGATTTCAGAAATGTAGCATTGGATCACTTGCTCAGCAATGGATCCTCTGCAGTGAATGGGTGCCGTCAGAATGAGAGTCCAAACAGCTGATAAAAACATCACAATAATCCACAAGTAATCCACACCACTCCAGTCCATCAGTTAACGATAACGACCAAATGCATCATTATTAGCCGTTTTTAACTTTAACTTAGCTTCTGGCTAAAATACGAGCCCTCTAGCCATAATATTCCTTTCTCCAGTCATCTCATCTGAATCAGGAGAGAAATATGCACAGATCAATCGTTGTTTACAACCGTTTACAAGCAGCATATTAGGTTCTACAAATTTGTCAGTGGGTTTTAATGTAAGAGGTCAAGAAGTGATTGAGTTCTTAACTGCAAGTGGTGTTATGGACTAGTATTTTGGCGAGACACGACAGTTTCAAGTTAAAAATGTCTTAAAAATGGATTTGTTTCTTACAGACATGCAGCTTTTTTATTTCATAAGATGTTAATTGATGGACTGGAGTCGCATGGATCTGGAAATGGATCATTTGTGGATTATTGTGATGTTTTTAGCAGCTGTTTGGACTCTCATTCTGACGGCACCCATTCACTGCAGAGGATCCACTGGTGAACAACTGATACAATGCTTAATTTCTCCTAATCTGATGAAGAAACAATCTCATCTGCATCTTGGATGGCCCGAGGATGAATACATTTTCAGCAAATTTTCATTTTTGGGTAAACTATTCCCCTAAATAATCTTTGACCAGTTTTCATTTGATCTCATAAATTAAGTCCAATACTTCCAACATTAAATGTTACAAATAAAACAGAAGAAAGCTTTCTTTTCTGGTCTTTTATTGAAAGACAACAGAGAGCTGCAGATGTATTAGCTGGTTTTGTGCGCGTCTCACTGTGGTTGTACGTGTAGGAGTTGTCCAGACTGTTGAGCTGCTGCAGTCTCATATGCAAGGCTCCTGTCCTGCTGCGGGACACAGGAAGAGTCTGAGAGCGTCGCTCGTGAACCACCGGCCCTGATCCCTCCAGAGTCCTGATGACAGAGTCAATATTTAACATCAGCTTCTATTATGAGCTCATTAAACACTCTCCGACAACAATAAAGCTTCTGTGATCATTATTAGTGGCCGGCTGAAATGTGTTTGTTATTAACTGCTGTTGGTTTCTATATGTTGGCCATTAGCAGAGTGGTGGTTACTTAGTCAAAACATGCTATTATAAAACATTATTTAGATGTAATTTATTTATAACATGATATATTGGTGTAACACTTGATAATAGGGTTTCATTTGTTACCATTATTCAAGTACAATTTGACATGAAAAACACATACTGAAGCTTTTATTAACCTTAGTTAGTTCATTTCAATATTCACAAATACATGATTAAAATCAAAAGTATCTGTTAATATTATTTAATAGACCTGAAGTAAAATGAACAATTGTATTTTTTTTTAACCAACATTCATTCAAAGATCAGTAAACACTGTTGCAGATGCATTGCTCATTGTTCAAGTTAGCATTTAGTACCTTATTGTAATGCGTTACCTATATATATATATATATATATTACTCACTATATCTTTATAATCTACTATTATAAACGTGCAATATTAGTAAATGTTTGTTAAAAAAAAGACATTACCTTGCAATGTGTCTCTTTCCCATATATCTGAACTGATGAAGACACACTCTGAAATCAGATGAGAAATGAATGAGACAGGAGTGTGTGTGTGTGTGTGTGTGCTGTGAGGTGAAGTGCAGCACTTACTCTAGCAGACTGAAGAAGTTCATCAGGTCTGTGGGTGAAGCTTTATTCCAGTAATTGAACAGAGCATCTAACACACAGCAAGTGCATCAATCAAACGACAGACAACTACAACACAAGCAGGTTCACATCATCTCAGTGTGTGTGTACCTTCAGACATGCTCTTTAGTACGTGCAGGAAGCACATTAATATGTTCTTCACTTCAGATTGGTCCAGTTTGTCACAGCGGAGCAAAGAACTGCCCAGAACCCCAGCGACATGACACTGAGACAGAGAAAACAAGATCAGACATTCATAGGCCACAAAACACTTCTGGACACTTAAGTCACACTTGTCTGAAGGGCTATGCAATATATTGAAATAATAGCAATTATTTGATCAACTGCAAAAAAGTGTTGCTTAAGTGTCCAAATACTTGTTGGGGTAAACTGTAGATACACACCCAGGCAATTATAAGCACTCACACACACATGCACATTCACTAACACACACTCAAACACCTCAAATCACATGCACGCTCTAATAGATGGCATGTCTGTACACACACAAAAGGACCATGATACTGTAGCAGTAATGCACTGCATGCACTCAAAACGGCATTCACATGTGCAAGAACAGCTCTTTCTCTACAGGGCGTCACAGACAGGGAGGAGAGCAGCTCTACACACACACACACACACTGCCCTACACTAATGTGCTAATGTATCTACCATAGCACAGCACATGTTCCCCTGTCAGCAGATCCTCACTCTGACAGCACAGTGTGGAAACTATGAAACCCACAAAATACTGCGGCTGATTTTTCACTCCACTTATCATGCGGATACAGAGATGGAGACTGAAGGACTGTTTTTGGACTAATTCAAATGCAACAAAAGGAAAGAATATCAAAGAGAGATCATTCAGTGCGCCACAGCATTCCTGCAGTCAACAGATTTACTGACTCAGCTTCCTGTGACTGGAAGCATCAGCTGTGGATTTAGGCACAAGGTCTGCCCTGTTACTTCTATAAAATACAGACGATGTCTGCTTTCCACTGAAAGATATCTTAACCAGGTCATATCATGACACAGAGTTAGATGTATTACTTAGACTTGAACTTGCAAAACTCCAGTGCAAAAGAATAAATATTTTACTTTAGTTGCCATTTTATTCAACATCTATCTAAATAATGTGCAAAAAACCCCACCAACCACAGTTATGTGACATGACACATAACTGTGCTCTGCATTTATCCCATCCTAAGTGCACACACACAGCAGTGAACACACACCCGGAGCAGTGGGCAGCCATTTATGCTGCAGCGCCCGGGGAGCAGTTGGGGGTTCAGTGCCTTGCTCAAGGGCACCTCAGTCGTGGTATTGAAGGTGGGAGAGAGCGCTGTACATTCACTCCCCCCACCTACAATCCCTGCCGGTACGAGACTCGAACCCGCAACCTTTGGGTTACGAGTCCGACTCTTACCATTAGGCCACGACTTTCCTATGAGAGGATAATGGAAGGTTTTCTGGTCTGACTGCAATTAAAATGCAGTGTATTTGCAACAGAAAAAATATATATAAAGTGAATTCTGCTTATATGAAACATGACTATAAATATGTTTCTATGGAAATGTAACAATTTTTTACACAATTATATACACATTTATTTCTTTAACACTAAGACTCAGTATAATCAAATAATTGTGATTGATGTAATTTTTCTCAGCTTTAGTCTTTTTAAAGCTAAAAAACCCCCCAGTAATATCATCAAATTTTGTTAAATGCTATTGTATTAAATGTGCATATCATATAGCAAATGCTATTTTGTAGCATTTTTCATTCAAATAATGGTTTGAAAAGCCCTGCTCTAATGGACCGTGTTCCCAACAACCTGCACATATTTTTTATTATATACACACATTTATAATGTAGGACACTGTATAACACTTTTAATAAATTAGATGGTTATTACGAAACGGACACACACATCTAGTAATGTCACCAAACTCCACACGACTGCTGTGTGATTAGCCAGAGAACAGTTTATATGAAGCTTCGGTTCAGCTCTGATTTATTTCTTCATATCGAAATGCTTAAATCAAGACAACAACACAAGATCATTCAGCTTCAGTTCTGCGAGTTTATTATGTCATTGAATATCAATGTGCTTTGTAAAATAGTATCATTTGCATCATTTCAAGGAATTTTATGTTCTTCATTATTTTCTGTGTTTTCTTATTAAATCAGGTTTGTAGCAGGTGCTAACAGCGATTAACAAGCATTAATGTAAATGAAGGACAGGGTCGGGTGGGGTTGCTATAAACCAATAACGCTCATTTGATTAGAGAGAATAACGACCCCGCCCCCCTCCTGTCAATCACTGTGTCACACCCCCCTTCCACACAACACACTACACTGCACCTACCATTTGGGGTGGCCCACCACAGCCCTGCAGGGGGCCCTAGTACTTTCAGCTTCATGTGTTTCCCTGTGGCTCTAAACACATAACCGGTCTGGTCAGCAGGTAAAACACTGTGCCACTGTGTCACGCGCGTGGAATTTACAGCTGATCTTATGACATCACAATGACCGAGAGAATGTTTGGAATCTTTGATCTTCAGAGTGTGTTGTGTTGTGTGTGTGTGTGTGTGGGGGGGGGGGGGGGGGGGGGTCGTTATTCTCTCTGATCAGTTGATATCTATTGGTTTATAGCAACTCCACCAGACCTTGTCCTTCATTTACATTAATGCTTGTTAATCACTGTTAACACCTGCTATAAACCTGAATTACCAGTCAAACACAGCGAAAATATTGACAAACATAAATTTCCTTAAAATTATGCCATAACATTGTAAAACAACAAACATGTTTTACAAAGCACATTAATATTCAATGACATAATAATAAACTCACAAAACTGAAGCTGAATCACCTGATCTTTGATGAAGCACATAGCAATTTGGAGTTTGGTGCCATTGGTGAATTTTAGAGGTGTGTATGTGTGTGTTTTCTTTCTGTAATAAACCCATGATTCATTAGAAGTGTTATTGTTTTCTGTCAAGAAATGTGTTTGAGAAGGCGTTTTAAAGCTATGTGTGAGTGAAATATAATGTTATAAAATAAAGATGTAAAACTAATGATAAATGTATTTAACATAATGATTTTTTAACACATTCACAAAACTTGAGAATATATCTGTTTCAGTTTTCTAATTACTAAAGCTGAAAAACTGAAAGATCATTTACATATCAAAGTCTTAAAGGTACAGCTGGGAAAAAAACCCCCGCCTGCCTTCTGTTGAACACAAAAGAAGATATTTTGAAGAATGTTGGTAACCAAATAGTACTACAGTAGCCATTGACTTACATAGTATTTGTTTTCCATACTATGTAAGTTAATGGCTACCGCCAACTGTTTGGTTACCAACATTCTTCAAAATATCTTCTTTTGTGTTCAACAGAAGAAAGAAACCCATCCAAGCTTCTTGAGGGTGAGTAAATGATGATTATTGGGTGAACTAACCCTTTTATAAGTGACCCTCAGGGAAAACAATGCAATATGACCCCTTTAAGACAGTCAATCATGATCTTCTAGCTAAGGGAACAGAGGATCAGTAAAGCCAAATGCTCACACAGGCACGTCAGACTGGGACAGTGTAGGGTAAGAGGTCAAAGGTGAGTGGTAATAACAGAGCTGCAGGGCAGGGGTCATAGATCAACGGTGATGTAATACTTGTGTAGGGGGTGTGTGTTGCTCAGTTGGTGTAGACAGTAGAGAGAAGTCCATGGTCTGGCGTTTAAGACGTGCAGAGAGAGACGTCTCCTCTGAGTCAGTAAAGAAACGCAGCATGCTGGAAGAGTGACGGCGAGTGAAACGCTCCCGCTGAACGCCGCAACAGCAGGAGACACACAACCACAGGTTAGCACACACTCTCACACACACACACACACACACACACACACTCCTGTTCATACAAGGATAAGCATACATCCATACACACATACTGCGACACATAAACACAAAACATGATAACGGTCCATCATAAATAATGTACACAAAAGTGAAAATCAGGTCATGTGAGCAGTACCTTGTCTAGGGGGTGTGGCTTGTCAATGCTGCGCTCTGATAGGCCGTTTCCAGAGTCCGTGCTGATAAGAGAGCTGCGCGAGTTAGTGTGCCGTACAGAGCTCATGGTCGGAGTGTGAGGAGAGACTGACAAACACAAACACCTCAATATACTGGACACAATCACTCTCAAATTATATTTCTCACAGAACAATAATCTGAACACAATTATTTCAACCCTGTAAAGCCTGACATAGGAAATAACAGACAAAAATCGAATTTGTTTTAAAATGGAAGTTTACTGAATGTTTGCACAAAAAAAATGAAAATTTTGCACATTTGATTTTTGTTGAGTATCCTATTTGATACATCAGGCATTTATGACTCATACAGCATGAAGAATATTAGAGAATATTGAGCTCATACTTCAGGGGGAAAGAAACACCTCAGTTTTATTCATAGGCCCAAAATGAGCAAAAATATTATATTTGGTGCAGCTGCTGTTATTTATATGGCCAAAAAGTAAGACAAAATTCTGATAGACCTTTCTAACAGTATAACAGATTACTTGCATAAAATTAATATAACTTGTCACTCTATATCTCAATAATGTCTGTAAGATGACTTTTAAATGCTTAGTTTATGAACAAAACACAGTGGTTTTAATTGTTTGAAACATCTAATGCAATGCAATACAATGATGACTGAGCCTGATGAATCATATTTATTAAATACAATACATCTGATGTATCATATTTAACATGATTTTTCAAAAAAAAAAAAGATGTATGAATAATCTAGTAAACCTAAGTTGCTTCAGTCCAAGTGTCATTCTTGTAATATTACAATTACTAACCATACAAAAGTTATTCTTACATTTACTTTATAAATGACCTGAAGGGGGACATTTTTACAATCATACTGAAAGGCATTTTTCTTGCTAAAATATATAAACTATCAATTAGGCAGAAGGCATGTAGTAGATTGTGTACAACGGTTTTTACAAAAAAAAATTTGATCATGCTTATCATTTATAGGTTTTAGAAATTTTCATATTAAAAATGTGATATAGTGGGCTTTATAGGGTTAAATGTCCAGGATGACTGACTGTGATTATGCCATGTTGCACAGCATTTTCAATGAGGGAAAACAAATTCCTTGTTTCTGTAACACTGTCAGATAGCGGCTGGTTTAGGATGCTGTCTCTCACCTGTTCCTGAAATCACTCCAAGCACCTCTTTATGCAGGCTGCTGTCCACTGGACTGGCCACATTTTTTGTAGGTGTCATCATTACATGATCATCACGGCCATTCTGAAGCAATACAAACAGAACAGAACTCACTGCATATTCATATCATCCATATCTTTCTTTCTTACTACACTTTTTTTTTTTTTTAAGTAATTATTTGAAATCTGATATTGATATAAATTCTTAACATCTCAAGATGTATCGTTTAGTGTTCACTTTTTTCCAATGGATGTGTGAAGATTGGGGTCAGTAAAAATGTTTTATGTTTTTGAAATCTGGAGAGTTTTTCCAGGGATGTGCGTGCTTTTGTTTTGATTATGTTTTTGAAATTGTTTTATGTTCTATTATACTCACCAAGGCTTTTACTGTATACTTGATCAAACATTCAGTACAAATGATAAGTAACATTGTGAAATATTTAAAACAACTGTTTTCTATTTTAATATAGATTACTCCAGTCTTCAGTGTCACATGATCCTTCAGAAATCATTCTAATATGCCGATTTGCTGCTCAAGAAACATTTATTATTTTTTCTTCACTATCAATTTTGATGACGTATACTTGCTGAATAAAAGCATTATTTCTTTTAAAAATCCAATCCAATCTATTCATCCAATAAACGGAATGCTCTGACTCTGTGTAAGTTTCTTCTGAGAAACACAAGATATTTTAAAGAATGTTTTAACAGTCATTGTTCATCCATACTGACTTTCATTGTATGGACAAAACCACGATAACATTTAATTTGGCGTTCTATAGAAGAAACTACATCAGGTTTGGAATGACATAAGGGTAAGTAATGACCAAATTTTCATTTTCAGTGAACTATCCCTTTAAACCTGCAACAAGCCTGCATTTGTAGTAATATGTGCTTCTATATGGCTGCACAGTCTGAAACAAACACTAGGTGTCAGTCTTACAACGTTAGTATGGTTGTTGACAGGAGACGGCTCTTTAATGTTGAGCCTGTGGACGTTTTCCAGCAGCAGACTGAACAGAGGCAGGTACAGCGTAGCCAGGCGAGCCTGCTGACCCTGAAAAACAGACAAAACACACGCTTTATATTTAATACATACACAGTTGTGTTCATAGCACAATAATACCAAAATGACACAGTGCTTATTTACCTTGGAGGAGTAGCGATCGTCAAAGGCGTGTTTGATCATCAGGTTCTTCAGCACCTGTACAGCGATCTGACGGATGTCTCTGAACTCCTGCAGACCTCCACCCACTTCCCTCAGCAACAGCCCCACCAGGAAGTGATTCTTACAGAAATCATCAGTTAAAGAGTAGTCCAGCTGAAGATCTGACAGAGAGACAGAGAGAAGGATGTGAGTTCAGGACCGAAAATACAAAACATCACTCCTGAACTATAGTTCTGTCAGGACCACTATCGTCAAAATGATAGATACTTAGCATAAAGTTTGGTTTGGCGGTACGGTTCTGTTCTGGGCAAAAAACTCCCTGCCCATCCATGCAGCCTGTCATGAATGAGCAGGGAGAGCAGCAATAATAACCCCTCTAGGGTTAACAGAACAGAACAAGGCAGATATCATTAATGTACTTGATATTTAAATGTAACACTTTATTAAAGATAAAGGAGTCTGATTAGCAAGGAATATCAGAAAGCCAAGTCCTGACTGTGGCGAAAGGAGGAGCTGGGGATGGAGGAGGGTAATTTGCTCCTGAGCAAGCTGAAAAGCTGCTGAATAGAGCTTATATAGGAATGCCGCGATAGGTGTCGTATTCCTATATGTAGATGTGATCAGCTGACAATCAGCTGATGCAAGCTTGACTCACGTGACCTGCCAGAACTAACGCTAACGCTTAATAAATGGAAAAAACAGGCATTATAACGAAACAGAAATTATATAAGAATAGTTCACCCCAAAAATACAACTGCTGTCTTCATTTACGGCATGTGCACATTCAAACAATAAAACATCAAATAAATTGTTTTTCACATTTGCGTGACTATGATGCATTTAAATGTTTTAACTGAACATGACTACATTTATGCACATGTAGAAGTATGGACTTTATTATTATTATAAAATAAAATATATTATAAAAAAATAATCAAATTGTATTTTGACTGTAGTGTATATCAGAGCAGTGGTTCTCAACCTTTTTGGCCCCCACTGTTCACAACAGTATTCAAAGACCCCATGACTTTTCCAGTTTTTGTGATTTACTTTATAAGAATTAAAGTATTTTGTTTTCACAATTTTTATCTGGTAAAATATTTTGGAGCTTGGCATAACTAGAAAAACTTATATTTATTATAAATAAATATAATATTTTAATAAGTTACATTACATTTCCAGGACTAGAAATCACACTTTTTAAAGTAGACTATCACATATTCAGGGTTTTCAAGACCTTGGGAATCTTAGTTTTTCAAAGAAAAAAATGAAAATAAGAAATATGTTGATTTGTAGTTGTTTTAATGCTTGTTCTGTCTTATTTTAAATCATTTAAGTCATCTTGAGGCCCCCTTGGATGTTTGCTGAAGGCCCCTGGTTGAGAACCCTTGGATTAGAGGAAGACAGCTATTTTGAAGGTCATAATAAAATTTTATAATTATGTTAAAAATTTAGAGATATCAGCCTTTAGTCCAATTCCATCAATATTCTACAAGGTCTTTGACTTTCACATGTTTCTGCTTTTCACTTTAATGATGGTTCACCTTGAAAGCGCTGGATTCGGCCCTTCCTGAATGGCATGGGCAGATTAAGAGGAACGTAGTGCTCATGATTACAGGCCACCTTCAGAAACTCAAACTTAAACTCATACAGCACCTGAGTGAGAAAGAAACAGAGAAAGAGAGGCATCAGATTGCACCATGGGAAATCTTTCTGAGATGGAATATATAATTGAAGAAAAAAAAACTCATATTCGCTTGTAAATGGAGATAAACAAGCAGAACAAATTACTTTTGTATCTCCGGGCATGAAGCAGTTGATGTAGTTGTTGATCTGTTTGAAGACGAACCCTCTGTCCATGAAGGTGAAACAGCGCTGGTGAAAATGATCAATGGTTGAGTTTACTGATTGATTCAAGACAACATCAAAAACCCTTCCTCAAACTAATGTACAACTTATCACTGGTAAAGATGGTAGACATTATAAACATTATCTTATGGTTATTGCAGATCTAGGTTTGTATTACCACAAAGTTCAAAATTTGAACTATCGAGTGCTTCACAGAACCAAACTAGTGTGCTTTTACGAGAGCAGCAATTTGGTTTGTGGTTAATGTGATCTGAATTCACAAGTAAGCTTCTATTGATGAAGCACATTTTGCTGGAATATATCACCAATAGTTCAGTTGCAACTACAGTACAAAACAAAGCAAAGCAAAGCCAAACAAGAAGCAAAACAAAGCAAAGCAAGCAAAACAAAGCGCAAAGCAAGCAAAACAAAGCGCAAAGCAAGCAAAACAAAGCAAAACAAAGCAAAACAAAGCAAAGCAAAGCAAAAAGCAAAGCAAGCAAAACAAAGCAAGCAAAACAAAGCAAAGCAAAGCAAAGCAAAGCAAAGCAAGCAAAACAAAGCGCAAAGCAAACAAAACAAAGCAAAACAAAGCAAAGCAAAACAAAGCAAAGCAAAGCAAAGCAAAAAGCAAAGCAAGCAAAACAAAGCAAAAAAGCAAGCAAAACAAAACA